TATTACCAAACACGGCCACACGGGGTAACTTACACAGGTGCCAACACAAGAACCCGAACAGCAGTGCCACCACCAGTGGCTCCAGCCGAGTGGTATGCTCTCAGTGCATTGGAGAGAACATCGTGCAGTTCTGATGCTGAGAATGTCATCTCGTCGTCTGACAACTCGGCATGACGTCCGTCGTACACAAACCAACTGAAACGAATGCAAGTGACGCTAAACAACCGGTATGTCATCAATCGACCTGTCCACACGAGCAAGGTAACCTTACCCCTAGGACATTTTTTCTAGGTTGGATAGGTTTGTATGTACGAGTGCACGTTTTCTGTTAAAATGCCGACTTTGTGGTGTTTCATTATCAAGGATTGATTTCAGATTCTCTTAATTTATCATGGTACCGATTGGTTAGAATTGCCTGCCAATCACATCTGACAGATAGGCCAGTTGTGTTGGATTGATATGTAAAGGGGCATCGTGCCTTTGAAGACCCCCTACAAAAAAAAGATGGTTTTCTAAAGAGAAATCATAACGTTTCGCTATCAGCTAAATGAGAATGCCAATGCCAACGCGAGCAAATCACGGCAATAGGCAAGTGGGCATCTATCAATGGTTAGCTGGTGTTCTGTACCTACCTCGAGTGCTCTGAGCAGAGCTTCATCACAGCATCAGCTACGCTGTCCTGCCGAGATCCAGCTAATCCTGACACGATGCTGACCACGACCTAAACCAGAGAATAGACTTAATTCAGCGAGCGATTACCCGAGTACCTCTGTCTACTCTCTGTACTCTACCTCTGTACTAGCAGGCCCTGTACAGAGTACCTCTGTCTACTCTCTGTACTCTACCTCTGTACTAGCAGGCCCTGTACAGAGTACCTCTGTCTACTCTCTGTACTCTACCTCTGTACTAGCAGGCCCTGTACAGAGTACCTCTGTCAGCATACTAGCAGGTCTTCTTCGTGGATGAACGAAACTGTAGGGTAGTAGACATCAGATTAGAAGTGTCGCAGTGTCAAGTCTAGCAATAAGTGCGCTGACAGACATGAAGACGTCACTGCTGCATATATAACATGAAAATGTTTCAAAATAATTTTATGACAAATCTTTCTGATTCTCTGAGAATGAATTAATAATATTGACACATGTAGTACTTTTTGGCAACATTGAATAAGTGTAGTCCTGTTGATGGTGTGTGGGTAAGGTGTTACTCTCAACACGTGAAGCACATGTCAAATGCTGTCCACGTCTCCAACAAATCCTCAATCTCTACCTGTACCTCTCTATACATCTCTAATCTGGATGGACACGCTCTCCTACCTTATCTGAGGTAACAGCTGACACACCCGAGTTTCCGATCACTGCCTGAAGATGACAGGATTGAACAGAATGTTGCATTAGCGTGCTGCTTGCTTCCATGTGTAATAAAAACCTGCGAGCAGAGATGCCATTAGAATTCGTATTATCGGTTAGTGCACTCCATGGACAATATACAGAAATAGTCCCTATTCTCAATTTTATAGGCGAGGACTGTGATAAAGTTCGTTAAACCTAAAACACATCATTGCACCTGTATCGAAATCATATTACTGTACTATATCATTTTGACTGCTATGCTGAGACACATTTTTTTTGTCACTGTGCATCTATATATTTTCTATGTATGCGTACCTGACCACATCTGCTAAGCAATGGCTTCCTTTCTGAGTAAAAGACTCGTCAACGTGTTGTGTTAGAAGCTGGTATGTCTCCTGTGCATCTGAGGGCAAACTCGCTACTCGTTCCAGAACTGGTGCCAACTTCAAACAGGTTCACATATATTTGTTATCACAATTATTATATATAATTGAGTGGCAAACATAAAGACTAATTACTTTTAATTCTTCACTGATTGCATACCATTACGATGCATACACGCATGCATGATCAAACCACCCACTGGCGCATGCTTACATGCTTGAACTCACATGCGCCCACACACATACAACTCACACGCAGACGCACGCACGCACGCACGCACGCACGCACGCACGCACGCACACACGTACATGCAAGCATGCCTTCACACACTATATAACTACACTATTGCCCGGGTAACTATTTGTAGGCTATAGCCATTGCATTACCTGGCTGTACAGGGCTCTATACGCTGCTGTTCTCGGTGCAAAGGTGATGAGAAGTTTTAAATCGGGAGAACACAGCTGCACGGGCAGGTGAGAGTAGAAACACGAGCCGAGCTTCAACAGCAGCACTGACATCTTGTTAGCTTCCTCCTTCAATCACGCCAACAACAACGGTAACAACATCACAAAATCCAGCAACATTATCATCAAAAACATAAACATCACCACCACCAACCACAACAACAACAACAACAATAATAATAATAATTATTATTATAGAAATTGTTTGAATAAATTTAAAGTAAAAATGTTGACTTTAAGGTAAGCCCAAGTATATTGACCTGTTAATTATAGTTTTGACAGTGAGACTGTCTGTCACTTTCAGAGGGGGGTTGGGGAGGAGGATAATGGAGAAGGTGGATAAAGGTAAAAGGTGACGGGGAAAAAAAATAGTATGGGTATGACTATGAAAAATAGGAGGGAATTAGGTAGAGGTTAATAGGGAGAAGACTGTGTTCGCAGCCGAATTCTTGCTACATTGTAGACACATAGCAAACTATTGAAAAAAGTGATTGATGATATTTATCGCTAGCGAGGCCAAAACATTACGATCCCTGCAGAGCCCTGATAACAATGAACGATGAGGATTATATTTTTATGTTACTGCTGATCAAGCTGTAATAAATAGTGTGTAGCTGTGTCAAATATTATCTCAGAAGTATGTACCTATAACATATCTATATTTACCTTGTCATACATCTCAGGTGAGCCATGTTCACTCGGAATTAGAATTGGTAGGTCACTCTCATGTAGGAAGCAGACCCCTCTCTCTCTAACCAGCACCTCACCTACAGTGATTGCACATGCAGATTTGTAAAAAAAAATCTCACAGCTGCTTAAAAAAGCCAACTGTTAACTGTTAAACTGTTTTAACATAGATCATATAGGTCGTGTGACTTTATGATTCAAGATTACTTCATACATTTGTTGCTAATTAATTTGGTGAATGAATAAACTATGGCTGGAGTGCTCATCTGAGGTGTGTGGTGGCGGAAGCAGAAGGGGGGTATTTGGGGGAGCAGTTCGGGTTGAGTATTTAGAGTAGGAAGCAATGGATGGTATTTGATATTGAACATGGTAATGAAAATTGCTGTGAGACGGTGGGTGCACGTGTAAGTTAAATAAATATCATGGCAACGGCCATCATCAGTCATGTTTTTTTTATGTTTAGATAAGTATTCCAATTTTATACTAATCCATATGGATTAGATGCTCAAGAAAGCAGGAAATTCGGTATCGATCGCGACATAAACGTGGCCACGGATTTCCATATTACTGGCTATACTTGCCCAGCTGTGACTCATGAATGCAAGCAACAAAGGCGCATGAAAATTACAAACACAGGAGATATGCTGAGTGCTGTGATATTGACAGAATAATTGCATAATAATGCATAAATTCATCTTATAGAGATAATACGATTTAGGCAGCTTAAATCATGCTCAACTAAGTTTTCCTTTCTAAGTTTAACTGTAAAATGGTAGCCTTTTACATTCATACAGAAATTATAGGATTCACTAGCAAAAGCATTTCAGCCATTTGGTATTAGTAAACAAATCAATGAGAGAGGTCACAGACAGCTACGCTTTGAACATCAGTTAAAAAAACATTTCATGGTCGTTTCAATAATGTCATGAAAATGGTAGTCACATATCTAGAGCATAGGTCAAGATATTTAAATTTGTGCCAGAATTATATGTTTCCCGATGCAAAACATCCAAAAGGCTCACTCCTCTCTCTCTCACACACACACACACGCACGCACGCACGCACGCACGCGCGCACGCACGTACACACACACCCAAACACACGCACGCACGCGCGCACACACGCACACACACACACACTCAAACACACGCACGCCCACACGCACGCACGCACACATGCACACACGCACGCATGCACACACGCACGCATGCACACACGCATGTCACACACACTCACACTCACGTAAACGCACACGCACGAACGCGTGCATACATACTTCAGATATCGAAGAATCACGGTGTATGAGAAACGCATGCACCCATTGCAGGCTAAACCATTGATAATATCAGGAGTGTATAATATAGACATAACCTATAATTACCTCTCAAAGGTTCCTTTGTAGTTGCTCCAGCCAGCATCACATCTGTACCATCCAGAAGGAGGCTCCCCCACTCGTGACCTGGCCGAGGGTCTCTCACCCACTCTTCTACAGATTTGCGTATGTACAGATAATCTGGTTTCACCTGGATGCGACACGATGCGTTCATTTACCCCAGAATGACTCACTGCTGGTTGTATATTAAAATTGTATCTATTTTGAAACACCAATCAAGAGAAACATGTCATACGATATTACATTAAGAGCTCATTAACTAGTTTACATGCTCTTGATTATAAATATATATATATAGCAGTTGTATCAGAGAAGCACTATACTAACCTGCCAGCACTTGTGGTGTGGAACTCCTTGTGTGAGTATCAATGTATCTGTGTGATTCTCCTCACGCTCACCTTGAGAATTAAAATTATAACTCGTGCTTTTAGAACTCGTACATGACTATAATCTACAACTATAACAGGTCTCTTATGACTTTGACAGGTCACCTTTGACACTTAGAAGATGCCTGGTTGACATTGGAGACTCTGGGACTGTGGCTCTATGCCTCACCACATTTGAACAGTTGAGACTTACAATAAAAAAAGCAGCTTGATGAATAACATTACCTACATAGATTACAACCGGATGAACTGACATTACATATGGCTAGATGTTTCTGTTGACCCAAAACCACACGCACTGATGTCTGTCAATACAGCTTTACTGTAATAATATCTTATCCTACCTTCATTTGCGACTGAGATGACAGAGTCTACGAAGCACTCTGAAAACATGATAGAACCCAGATCTGTGCCAACATACTCCTGACTTGGTATACCACTGATGATCATGCTAGCTGTCTTTACTGCCTGTGTTTGCAGAAGGTTGCAGGAAAACACTCACAGTCAAGACAAATTAATGAAGTCAAACAAAAAAGGCGACCCTTTATTGATAAAGCCACAATCGGGGAAACCACCGGTAAGCTCATTATTGGGGAAATGGTTATTAATTTCATGACAAAGGCAATACTTAATAAACACACGAGGAAAGAATCTTCTAATACCTTTGTGTTTAAAGGAACAACTGTCAAAATCATGCTGAAGAAATAGTCTTAAAATGAAGAATGTCATTGAGAATCTCAGCCATACAATAGACATTAATAAGCTGCATAAAGATAATATATAATAATTATTCATTTGTAAAATGAGTTTCCACCCTTACTTTTTTTTAAATGGCTTATACACCATTTTAAAACACTACCGCTTACGCAACAGTACATGTACATCCAGGCAACAAAACCTCAGATTTCGAACTCATTTGCAATCATGATAAAATTGTTATTACGGCTTACAGCGATATATTGACGACACCTACCAGTATAGGTGCACTTGACTCATGCAAAGGGAAATAACGCCCTTTATTGTCACACGCTACTAGTTCGAATGAAATGTTGATATCGGTTGAAGGTATCAGGTGTCTCGCCTCACACAGTGATGTCACATGAAGTAGTGCTACTTTCTGTGCCTATAGATTGTAGAAATTGGTACAAAAGGTCAACTTTGCAGATATATGTAGAAGTAATAATCATGCCACACACACACGTGCACACAGGCCAGCACGCACATACACACATACACACGCGCGCGCGCGCACACACAGGCCAGCACGCACACACGCACGCACATACACGCGCACACGTAACCCCCACAGACACGCACACGTACGTACGCACGCACGGACACATGCATTCACGCAAAAACACACGCACATGTAATAATGATAAAGATTGAATTGAGACAAGGAAGTATACATAGCTAATTGCGTCACCACTTCTGTCTATATTTAAAATAACAGGTTATAACCACTCGCACTGAATTGCTGAATATAGTAAAAATTACCTTTTGCACTGATGATGACGATGTATACGTGTAGATAGCTTCATATACAGCTGCTATTGCAATGTCATATAGCTCTGACAACAGCCTATAAAAGACACACTATATGTTAACACCTCATATTAGATATCACTTATATGAGTTAACACCTCATTATTAGATATCAAACGGCTATATATACATGATATATTCAATCGCAGTTAAATATTGTGACGTTAACGTCTAGTTTAAGAAAAAAACGGATAAGTTAAATACGTTTACTGTGATATAAGTAATATATATATATATAATATATATATATATATATATATATATATATCATATTAATTACTTAGTAATACTGTCTATTTTGTACACGGCTATTCAATCGCAGTTAAATATTGTTACGTTAACGTCTAGTTTAAGAAAAAAACGGATAAGTTAAATACGTTTACTATGCTATAAGTAATATATATATATATATATATATCAGAAGTAGTAGAAGTAGTCCCTATTATCTACTCCTGATATAGGCCCTACACTGGCGTAGCTAAGGGGGGGCACAAGGGGGCCATGGCTCCCCCTGTTGATTGGCAAACAAAACAAAAAAATTTTTTTTCCTTGTCTCTCACGCGTCTTCACAGGACTGGCCACAATAAATCCTGTTACTTCTGCATCTGCTGAACGAACATTCTCTAAAATGAGCATTGTCAAGTCTAAACTTCGTTCTACAATGACCCAGCAACGATTCTCTGCTCTCATTCTCCTTTTCGTTGAACAGGAGTTAGTGAATGACATTAATGTCAACGAAATCCTCAAAATG